TAGCCATTGATCATTCTAAAAAAATACCAAAACATTATTTTCATAAATATATCAAACAACCATTGTTAGGGATGTGAACTCTCTGAATGGGATACCAAGTCAATATTAAATTGTATTATTTCTAATGTAAAAAGATACATGATTAATTAATGTAATTATGTGTAGGGACTGGATTGTTTACAGTCACGAAGAAAAATGAAGAAGAAAAGTGAATGTTATTGATTGTAAACAACATACCGTAGCCATATTACTGTAGGTGATTGTTTTTAACAAGACAGCTCTATAATATAATATAAACATAATATAATTAACAAGACAGCTCTATAATATAATATAAACATAATATAAACATAATATAATTAACAAGACAGCTCTACAATAAATATAATATAAACATAATATAATTAACAAGACAGTTCTATAATATAATATAAACATAATATAATTAACAAGACAGCTCTATAATATAATATAAACATAATATAAACATAATATAATTAACAAGACAGCTCTACAATAAATATAATATAAACATAATATAACTAACAAGACAGCTCTATGATATAATATAAACATAATATAATTAACAAGACAGCTCTATAATATAATATAATAAATATAAACATAATATAATTAACAAGACAGCTCTATAATATAATATAATATAAACATAATATAATTAACAAGACAGCTCTATAATATAATATAATATAAACATAATATAATTAACAAGACAGCTCTATAATATAATATAAACATAATATAATTAACAAGACAGCTCTATAATATAATACAATAAAAATAAACATAATATAATTAACAAGACAGCTCTACAATATAATATAGACATAATATAATTAACAAGACAGCTCTATAATATAATATAAACATAATATAATTAACAAGACAGCTCTATAATATAATATAGACATAATATAATTAACAAGACAGCTCTATAATATAATATAAACATAATATAATTAACAAGACAGCTCTATAATATAATATAATATAATATAAACATAATATAA